CTTTGGACATGCAAGCTACCGAAAGTGACTTCCATTAAACTCTCGTCTGAATCAATGCGAAGAAAGAAGAAAGCTACGAGTTAACCTTAGTCTATTTCCCACAAATATTTTTATACAATTTTATGATATAAAAGGCTAAGTGGGCTAGCGTAATCAATATAAGTGCCAATTAATCGTCTATATTGCAAATGGAGGCAAAAGAATCTGCTGGGCTAAAAACAAAGGGAATTAATGGGCTAACACATTGAAACTAGTACTCAAAAGATTAGACTATTTTTGGGGGACCGTTAAGAGCTAGACAAGTAACAGGCTTACTGAGCACTTTCCAGGAAATAAGGTATGCTATGGAGCATGGCGAAGCCTGATGAGAGAAATATTGGTGAGGCAAAGGCAATGGTATCAACTAGCTTGTTTAAGTTTACTGGTAAATATCATGAGTTTCTAACCAAAAAATATCTGCTGCTATTGGGAAGGTGATAATTAAGAAGTAGGCAGGTTGGCAAGTATACGGTATTCACTGGACCTAAAAATCCGGAACGGAGAAATCAAATGCTGCTGCAATTTTTTGCCTACGATCCATCTCAGAAGCCGATGTATGAGGGCAAAGCAAACCAGATGGGAATTCATCTTTAGGTATATATTTTGCGAGTCAAGAAAAAAGCCTTGCATCCAATTGATGCCTTTTCAACGATTATGCATTGTCTATTACCAAATGATGTAAAGATCAGGGGATATGAAAAGAAAATTGAAAAAAGCGAATGTGTAAATCATCCTGTGACTTCAGAAAGAGAGCAGTTAAGTTACGTATTTGGACAGTCAATGGGAATAATGAGGTGTTTCTTAGAGAGGAAAAATCCTCGTCACTTAGGAGCTTATAATTTATGCAGAGGTAAAAAACAGCACCTATGCAGGATGAGGCAGGAGAGATGTTAGTGCGATCTATGGAAAACTGAAGTCATTTTTCAACTAAACCTCTTCTTTGAAAACGTTATTACTGTGCATCCCGATGATGTTTATTTATGATGTGTAGGAAGGGGAGGCTGTAGGAGAGGAAAAAACGGATAATCGTCAGGAGCCTAAAATTTAGAATACAAATAATTCACTTGCGACCTAATGCTTCGTAGTTTACTTTTCCCGAGCCTTAATTTACATAGGGCTCTAACTGTGACCTATTCATAATTCCGGCTCCTTTCCTGTAATCTTGTAACGCATCCAGGATTCACCTTCAAAAGAAAATATTTAAACATAGCAATGGGCCTCCCCTATCGTAATCAGAGCGTACAAGTGGGAAAAGGCAACTGAGACTTGAGAAGTAAAAAGATGTAAAATAGGTGAAAAACATTCCAGACTGCAAGAACGTATTCCATAACAGTTCTTTAACTTCAAGGAAACCAGACAAAAACTACGATTAATGCTAGAAAATCGCGCTTTATTTATCCCCTTTCGATTGATCAAGGCAGATTGGATTTAATCTGACTATCCCGGGGGTACTATGGATGCTTCGGGGGAGAAAAATTTAGGTTCTTCCGTAAAGAAGTCTTCTATCACTTTGAAAGGCAACTTTCCTAGAATGCATACTGTCTTCACTCAAAGCATTTTTGCGACACACTGGTGTAAGGCCAGTTGTATTAGCTGTCGAACAAATGAATTGAGATATTTTGTTGTTCACAATCTGGTCGTAACTTTGCAGCTCAAATTGCTATGAATTGCTCAAAAAGGTGGCACTAAGAATTTGTTAAATTTCGGACAATTTTCCGTTATTGTTGACTTGTGTATGTGCTCACTTCGCTTAACTCCACATTTGCTGTAAGTAGTGCATTACCTCTACTTCTGCTTATTTGTACATTGTTGCCATCTTTTATTCTGCCTTCTTAAAAGGTCATTTGAAGAATGCCGAAATGAGGAATAACATCCGTTCCTGTGTATATATGGGTGCACATTCATTTAATGTCTTATAGAAAGCGAGTCTTTTTAACAGGTAGGATCTCAATCTACCAGTGGAACTACCTATAAATGTTAATCGAACCCAAGTCTGCTGATTTAATAAGAAGGCAGGAATTCGCCCTCCTAGAAGCATCACTTAAGTAACGGTGTAGGAGGTGATCTACCTCCATTTTACTCCAAAAGCAGCATTTAAGGAGCTATGCACATCTTCTTAACTGGATAAACCACTACACCACCGACTGGATAATAAGCACTCCTCTCTTTCATCAAAGCAACCTCATTGCTTGTGAAGCAGTTGAGAAGTTGAGGGTTGCCGGGTTAAGTAATGTGACACGTAAAGCATCAGGTGTTGCTTGTTTAAATGTCTTAAGGTATCCTTTGGAGAACAGCCACGTTTGTCATTTCTAAATTGTGAGGGACATCCACACATTCATATTATTACCGCATTCAAACAAGTACCACAAAAGGCATTAGTTTACCTAAACTGAAGATGAGGGAGACAAATCGATTGTGCCTTGCAGGATCATCGTTGCCTCCGTCACTACAACTTTCCTCTTTAGATCCACACATCCAGATCTCATAGCAGTGCACAGTAATAAGAGTAGTAAAGCAATGGCCTCGCACATAAATCAGTGCTGAAGGCTATTATCTCAGCGGCCCTCGTCCCTCAATTCCAAAATATATCATAATGCTTTGGGCACAAATGGGATGGTGATAGTTAATTATTGAGAAGTGGGATTGATGGGTACAAAATCTTGCAGTTACTCACTAAATTTATTTGTAATTTTTTCTGTTCTAAAAAGATGGCTACAATGATTTAACTGCTTGACTCACTTTCCACGTTAGAAGGACCTCTCGATCATGGTTCCTTAAACATAGTCATTGTAATTATGAAGAACTTAATGCATTGCGCTTGTTATATCGGCTAAATATTT